TTCTCTGAAAACTACTAGATTTTTACTGTTTTCAAATCAGTTTACAAAACCTGATGGTAGCCCAAACTAGTCATTTTCCCCTGCTGATTTTCATTAAACTTAATGTGAATCAAACAACTATTTGTACTTCTGATGTTGGAAGTAATGAGGACTTTCAAGGCATCTGAATTAAGTTATAACTTTTCAAGTATATCTAAAATATAAATGAAAATTGTTTATTGACAAACTTAAAAAATCAAGAGTTTTTCCATTTTATTTTACTATTTTTTGAAATTTTAAGTAGGCTCCATGCCCAATGTGAGGCTCAAACTTACCACTCTGAGATCAAGAGTTGCACGCTCTACCAAACTGAACAAGTCAGATGCCCAGAAACAAAATTTCCATTTTAAAGACAGATATACATATCTAATATTCTAGGAAATACAGTAACCCTTTGATTCCATCACTTAGTTGTACAATGAATTATAAAGAACTAAGTCAAACTTCCAAAAGGGGTCACTTCGGTACTGAGAAGAACTTAATTGGGAAATTTTGCCTATTTCGGAAAAATTTTTCTATTTCATTTTTAAGCCATGACTTCAGTAAAGAGTACCGTGATAAAGAATGAATTAAATCTTCTCCTTTTGTTAAATTTTGTTTCTTTTGCATCTATCTTACTACAAATTATTATCAAAAGGATAGTTGAATTTCTGACCACACTACTCTCCTAACATAGTCATTCGTTTTCTTGACTGAGGAGTTATATGTTACCTATGGAAAACATGCCAGTTGCATTGGTACAAAAATATCTGACATGAGAATGCTAATATCACATCCCGAAGTGAGAATAAAGCCTCATAAATGAAAGGAGGTATAATTAGGACTTTACAAACACAATCACATTTCATAGACACAAAGCAAAAGGATAAACTCTGTTGACCACCTGTCACCAAGAAAATGTTTTTAAAATAGGGGCACCCAGGTGGCTTAGTCGGTTGAGTACCCAACTCTTGATTTCAGCTCAGGTCATGATCCAGTGGTTCATGGGCTTGAGCCCCCATTGGGCTCCACATTGACAATGTGGAATCTGCCTGGGATTCTGTCTCCTACCTCTCTCTGCCCCTTCCCCACTCCCTCTCTCATTCTCTCTCTCAAAATAAATACAAATAAACTTAAAAAAAATATATAGGGACCCCTGGGTGGCTCAGTTTGTTGAGCATCCAACTCTTGGTTTTGGTTCAGGTCATGATCTCATGGTTCATGAATTCGAGCCTCACATCGGGCTCCACGTGGACAGTGCAAAGCCTGCTTGGGATTCTCCCTCTAGCCCGCGCCCTTGCCCTCCCATGCTCGCTCTCTGTCTCTCAAAAGAAATAATATTCAAAAAAAATATATATATATATAATACAAACAAATGATTAGAATAGCTTAAGTAGCACAGATGAAATTTTTATTTTTATTATTTATTATTTAATTTTCTTATAATTTTTAAATGTTTATTTAGTTTTGAGACAGAGTGTGTGTGGGGGGGGGGGGGCGCAGAGAGAGAGGGAGACACAGAATCCAAAGCAGGCTCCAGGCTCTGAGCTGTCAGCACAGAGTTGGACGCAGGGCTCAAACTCACAAAATGTGAGATCATAACCTGAGCCAAAGTTGGGTTCTCAACCTACTGAGCCACCCAGGTACTCCACAGATCAAATTTTTAAACCTTTATTTGATTCTGCTTTCCTTCTGGTTTCCAGGCTATTTTTCTCTCTGGTCTATAATGCCAAAGTTTACAAGTGGATAGTCTTATTGATGAATTTTTTTCTTCTACATCTGCTATAATATTGGTTATTGACTACTAAGGGAAAAAAGACATATATAAACCCAACAACATGACATTTTGGAAAAGCCAAAACTTATAGAGACAGTGTTTACTAAGGGTTCAATGGTGAAGGGGAGATGGAAGGTAGGAATAAATAGGTGGAACACAGGCAATTTTTAGGGCAGTAAAACGATTCCATATGATATTGTAATGGGGGATACATAACACTATGTATTTGTCAAAACCCACAGAACTGTAAAATAAAAAGTGAACTCTAATGCAAAAAGGCTTCATTTAATAATGTACCGATACTGGCTCCTCAGTCATAACAAGTATACCACATCAGAGTAAGATGTTGATGATAGGGAAACTATCATTATGTTGTACATCTGAAACTAATACAGTATTTTATATCAATTATATCTCAATAGGAAAAAAAAACAACAAAAAACAGGGGAACCAGTGTATGTGTATAAAATGGTATGTAAAAACTTCATTCTTTTTTCTGCTCAATTTTTCTGCAACCCTAAAACTGATCTAAAACTAAAGCTAGAAAGAAAGAAAGGAAAAGGAAAAGGAAGAGGAAGAGGAAAAGGGAAAGGAAAGGGAAGGCAAGGAAAGGGAAGGGAGGAAAGAAAGAAAGAGAAAGAGAGAGAGAGAGAGAGAGAGAGAATTTTTTGTCCTTAACAGATTTCCCCTTTCTTTCTGTCCAACCATTTGCACCAACCAGCAACCCACCTAGATCAGGTGAAAATCTCATGTAGCTTGCAATGTAATTACAACATCCTTTTAAATTTCTCTTTTCAGATACTTATACTATGTACTCAATAAACAACTGAACACAAAACTGTCTTCTATTCAGTTAATGGTATCAACTCAAGTAAAAAACCAACAATTCTCTTTGGCTCCTTCCCCCATAATTAAACCTTAATATCTTAGTGATTATACTAATAAATTTCTGTAAGATTTGTCCTGTTTCATCCCAGTGCTACTGCCACTCCAACCATTCTTCTGAAATATTTAAAATGTATGCTATCTTTTGTTTTCATTCTACTTGACTTTCCTCTGCAAATTCAATTTTGTAAATATCCCCTCCTCTCCACACTTCCCTGCTACCTCCATAGAAGCCTGTGTCTCTCAGAAGGGTTATCATAACTGCCCATTTTCTTTCTCTCCCATTTTCAGTTTATCTCCCACACTACAGCCAATATCATATATCCAAAATACAGATCTGGTTATTTTACTTGTATTTAATTTTAGCATATTTAAAGTAACTTTAAATGCTACTCACAAACAAAAATCAAATTTACTTAATGCTGAAGAAAGTGGCCTGATCCACTCTGGACTCCAGTTTATTACCATCAGTTATAATGCCACAAAAGTTTTATACAGCTCTTACGTATAATGCAACAATTTTAAATGTTCCCTGATTAAATCTTCATACTTGCTGAACTAATATATATAGTATTTACTGCAATGAAGGAGTATAATACCTTCCTTCAAATAGCTCTTGAAGAGTTTCTTCTACACTTGTGAAAAGTCTGACCACATTCCATTAAATCTGCACTCTGATCCCATAGCAGAAGTAGCTAGTTAATTTATGGAAGCAAAGACTTGATTTTTCACTTAAATGAATTTTATAATAAATGATTATTTGTATGTTTCTAAAACCTTTACTGGATATCAATGGAACTAAAATAGTAATGTTTTCACACCAAGACATTTTATAAATATCACCTTATAAAGGTTTCTCATGGGTATGAAAAGAAACAGGAAACATATAACTAACTTCCTTGTTTCAAATTTCTTTACCCCAATTTATTATGCAATTTCTTAGTTTCATTGGAATCCCTTTTAAGATTCAGCAGAATCTGCTACCTAGGTTGCTTTTTAGATGTTTCTAAATTAATTTGGTGCTACAAATGAGTTCCTTAATCTGGTTTTCTCAAAGAATCTCAGAGGAAAGATTTAGAAAAGAACAGACTGGTAACCTATAACCTCTAATTCCTTCTTTCCCTCCGCCCCCCCAACCTGTAATATAGTATTACACGTCTTAAGAATGTATTTATTAAAGAAACACTGATATGGATTAGTTCTCTGGGATTTATGTCCCTGTTGGGATTAAACTGCAAGTAATCATGAACAGAATTCTAAAATTCCAGATTTTAAACTCCCATAAGCTTGGAGAAGTTATGAATTATAGATTAATTCTTAAATCATTCTTCAGACCATTAATTCAGCAGCCTTCTGAACAATCATTCCTTAAAACTTACCACACCTGCTTCTGAAATGAATTCACTGAAGCATAAAGATTGGAAGTGTTTGCAGTGTTGAACTTTATTCAGCAATCAGCACTGCGACAACTTTTCACCTGTCTTTCCCCAATCAAGATCCAGCTGTTTTCAAATATGGAATTGTTCTCAATTCCTCAGCAAAAGGAAAAGAGTGAAACAAGAGAGGAAACCAGGACACAAAATACTTGATGAGCACTCACTCCTCAAGTCCATGTTTACGTGACCTTGAGAACACCATTTAACTGCTGTGCCTTCGATGTCTTGCTCATCACCCCCTGGTCCTAGCTCTGCTATTACTTCAGTACATGTGTTAATGTTTAAAGGAAAACCTATCTTTTTATCTCTCCATTTTCAACTAAGTAAAATAATATTTTTTAGGAGGGGTACATTTTATATTTGATTTAAAAGGATTTAAGAAAGCTTTTAGTTCTACATGTGTTACACTTCATTAACTACATTCAGTAAGAATACCAGAATGACTATCCAGCTGGGTGCATGTGGTACTTGAGAACATGAGGGAAGACACCATTTCTCATTTGCTGATTAACAGAGAAAGCAAACTGTTCAAATTAATGCTAAGCCTTATATGAAATTTTGTAAATTTAAAGAACTCCAGCTATTAAAACGGTTGCATAAGCAAAAGAACCATTATTCCAAAACCTGGAAGGATCATTTCCTGGCTGAATTAATTAAATGAACAATCTCATCTGCTGAAGGGTTTTCCCCTCTTCTCTTTCTAAATCCTCAACCCAGAAGGCAAATCAAAACAGAATTCTAAATCAGCCTTAAAAACACTGATGTGAGGATTAAAGTGCTTCTAAAATGCAAAGGTAAATAAAAATATTAGAATTTTAATTCCTGAAGTAAAAGCACCAATTAAAACATCTCTTTCAATCTTGCTTATTAAAAGTTATACTTACCAGATAAAGGAGGAAGGTGTGCAGACCTGTTCCAAGCCCAACAGAAGACAAAATTCCTAAGCCTATCCAGTAGGCATACAAGAGAAACTGTTTTTCTATACGTTGCACATACTGAAAAACAAAAGGGATGTGGAGGAAAAAAAAGACTTGTTAAACAAAAATACACTACTTATCACCTACAATCAAAATAAAACAAACCAAATAAAGTAAGTTTCTAATAGGAAGAAAGCATTAAGAGTAAGAATTCCTTGGGGCGCCTGGGTGGCTCAGTCAGTTGAGCGTCTGATTTCGGCTCAGGTTATGATCTCACAGTTCATGGGTTTGAGCCCCAAGTCAGGCTCTGTGTTGTCAGTTAGCTCAGAGCCTGGAGCCTGCTTCAAATTCTGTATCTCCCTCTCTCTCTGACCCTCCCCTGCTCATGCTGTCTCCCTCTCTCTCTCTGTCAGAAATAAATCAAAACATTTAAAAAATTAAAAAAAAAAAAAGAGTAAGAATTCCTTGAAGAGGCCTAATTCCTCATAAATGTGACAGCAAAAACACAAAAATATTCATCTAATTAGAATACAGATCTTGTTTTTAGACCTTTAAAGTCTTACTATTGTGAATGACATTCATAGGAAAAATGCAAATTACTAATAATACAACTTAACTATGAGAATGAAAGTTTTAAAAGTATTTAAAAGTTAAAAAAAACTTTAAGAAAGCATCATAATAAACAGTGGTGAGAGTGGGGCAGTTGCTTATGTATTGTGAATGGAATATATTCTTCTTTATCAAAGTAAAAACACGGAATACAATTATTTGTGTATACTTAAGACCAAGATGCTTTTCACACAAGAGCAAACTGAAGTCCACTGAGCTATGGACTTGTTGGAAATATTCCAGATATTAGATTCTAGACTCTCACATTGGCGAGTAAATTCATCAAACTAGTTCCTCATAAACTCTTAATGGCATACATATAATATTTCTTCAAAATACTTAAAATAAATGCATTTAAAATTGTAAAAACTTCTCTGAAATTAGAAGTTAATTGTTTTAAAATGTAAAACAATACCACTTTAGAACCATTTCCTATTAGAATACATTAATGTTTTGATATTTTTAATAAAAGTTTTGACTAAACGCCACCAGGAAAGTTACATTTGAATCCTTGAAAATAGAAAGAAATGATATATGCCAAATAGAAATGCTCAACAGCCATGAACTGCCACAATAATATTTTTAATATTTGGTCTCTTAAGACATTAAGATATCATTTGTGAGATAAATATAAAAAGCAAAACCAAATCTAAAAATGTGGAGGGTAGAAATTTTATCAAACCCACAATGTCCCATTTTGAAACTGTTTGGAATTAGGGAGGATACAAGAATAGAAACAGAATGAGTGCCTGGGTGGCTGAGTCGGTTAAGTGACTGACACCTGATTTGGGCTCAGGTCATGATCTCACAGTTGTGAGACTGAGCCCTGGGCTGGGGGCTCTGTGCTGGCAGTACAAAGCCTGCTTGGGATTCTCTCTTTCCCTCTCTCTCTGTCCCGCCCCAGCTCCTGCTCTTTCTCTCTCTCAAAATAAACATTAAAAAAAAAAAAGGAGGGGGGAAAGAAAGAGTTGCTGAACCTCTTACCTGTTGATGTGCTCCTTCAACATAATACGTAGCTATAAGTACAGCAAGCAGCAGTAAAAAAGATACCACAATGCTTTGACGATGCCATAATCTTAAAAACAAATTAAAAACAAAAACAAATAAAATATCTCACAGTCTCATTTTTAGGAGTTAGCACTCCCAAAACAATTTCTTGTTGAAGCACTTAGGTTATTTAGCATAGCTGTAGAATCAGTTCTTTTGGGCTAAATTCTTTTGTCCTTAACTATGATGGTCTCTTAGGGTACAGAAGGAAGTCAAGAGAAGATACACGGGCATAGAACACCCAGTTTCTTATCATAAACCCTACTGTGGCTTTTCTCCTATCCAAAACACTGATCTAATACAATGAAATATATATATATATAACGAAAAGAGCACTGGTCTTCAAGTTAGAGGACCTGGATCAGAGTCCCTAAGTATTGCACTTTGATTAAGATGTTTAACCAATCTGATTCTGTGTCTTGTTTTTAAAATCATAATACAGTTGGGGTGCCTGGGTGGCTCAGTTGGCTAAGGATCAGACTCTTGGTTTCAGCTCAGGTCATAATCTCATTGTTTGTGGGATCGAGCCCTGCGTCAGACTCCTTGCTGTCAGTGCAGAGCCTGACTTGGATTCTCTCTCCCTGTCTCTCTGCCCTTCTCCTCACTCTCTCTTTCAAAATAAATAAATATTTAAAATTAAATTAAATTAAATTAAAAAAAAATAAAAATACAGTTGACCCTTGTACAATATGGGTCTGAACAGTACAGGGACTACATGTGAATTTTTTGCAGTACAGTATTGTAAATGTACTTTCTCTTCCTTATGATTTTCTTAATAACATTTTCTTCTCCCTAGCTTAGTATATTTTAAGAATATTAGTATATTGGGGCGCCTGGGTGGCTTAGTCGGTTAAGCATCCGACTTTCACTTAGGTCATGATCTCGCGGTTCGTGGGTTTGAGCCCCGCATCGGGCTCTGTGCTGACTGCCAGCTCAGAGCCTGGAGCCTGTTTCAGTCTGTGACTCCCTCTCTCTCTGACCCTCCCCTGCTCATGCTGTCTCTCTCTCTCTCTCTCAACTAGAAATAAAAAAAAAAAAAAAAAAAAAAAAAGAATATTAGTATACAATATATATAACATACAAAGGCTTCTGGTCAAAGTAGGCTATTACTGGAGTGCCTGGATGGTTTGGCAGAGCATCTGACTTTCAGCTCAGGTCATGATCTCACAGATCATGGGTTCGAGCCCTCTATCGGCCTCTGCGCTAACAGCAAAGAGCCTGCTTTGGATTCTGTCTCCCTTTCTCTCTACCCCTCCCCTCCCTCAAAAATAAACATTAAAATTTTTCTTAAAGTAGGCTATTACTAGTTAAGTTTTCAAGGAGTCAAAAGTTACACACAGATGGGGGGTTGGCACCCCTAATCCCCGTGTCACTCAAGGGTCAACTGTAATCATATACTTGTTTTACTGGTTTCACAGAGTTGCTTTAAGGGTCAAATGAACTAAAAAATATAAGAAAATATTTAATAAGCTGTATGTACAATAAAAATGTAAGATACTATTAAAGATAATAACTTGGGGGGCACTCGGCTGGCTCTGTCAGTGAACATGTGACTCTTGATGTCAGAATTGTGAGTTTGAGCCCCACGTTGGATGCAGAGTTTACTTACGTTTAAAAAAAAAAAAAAGCATCCAAATTGGCATGGAGGAAGTCAAACTTTTGAAAACTCTTCACAGACAACATGATACTTACTCTATCTGGAAAACCCAAAAAATTCCACCAAAAAACTGCTAGAACTGATCTATGAATATAGCAAAGTCGCAGGATATAAAATCAATGCACAGAAATTGCATTTGTATACACCAATAATAAAGCAGCAGAAAGAGAAATCAAGGAATCAATCCCGTTTACAACTGCACCAGAACCCATAAAATACCTAGGAATAAACCTAACCAAAGAGATGAAAGATCTATACACTGAAAACTATTGAAAGCTTATGAAAGAAATTGAAGAAGACACAAAAAATTGGAAAAATATTCCATGCTCATGGATTGGAAGAAGAAATATTGTTAAAATGTTGACAGTACCCAAAGCAATCTACATATTCAATGCAATCCCTATCAAAACAACACCAGCATTTTTCTTTTTTTTTTTTTTTTTTTATTTATTTCTAGGAGAGAGAGAGAGAGAGAGAGACAGCGTGAGCAGGGGAGGGTCAGAGAGAGAGGGAGTCACAGACTGAAACAGGCTCCAGGCTCCGAGCTGGCAGTCAGCACAGAGCCCGACGCGGGGCCCGAACCCACGAACCGCGAGATCATGACCGGAGCGAAAGTCGGACGCTTAACCAACTACGCCACCCGGGCGCCCCTACACCAGCATTTTTCACCGGGCTAGAGTAAACAATCCTAAAATTTGTATGGAACCAAAAGACCTCGAATAGTAGCCAAAGCAATCCTGAAAAAGAAAACCAAAACTGGAGGCATCACAATTACAGACTTTAAAACTGTAATCATCAAGACACTATGGAACTGGCTCAAAAACAGACACTTAGATCAATGGACAGAACAGAGAGCCCAGAAATGGACACACAAATGTATGGCCAGTTAATTTTTGACATCTTTGACAAAACAGAAAAGAATATCTTATGGAATAAAGACAGTCTCTTCAGCAAATAGTGTTGGGAAAACTGGACAGAGACATGCAGAGGAATGAACTTGGAACACTTTCTTTCACCATACACAAAAACAAACTCAAAATGGATGAAAGACCTAAATGTAAGAGAGGAAGCCATCAAAATCTAAAGGACAAAGCAGGCCAAAACCTCTTTGACCTTGGCCACAGCAACTTCTTACTCAACATGTCTCTGGACGTAAGGGAAACAAAAGCAAAAATGAACTACTGAGACCTCATCAAGATAAAAAGCTTCTGCACGGCAAAGGAAACAATCAGCAAAACTAAAAGGCAACCAACGGAATGGAGAAGATATTTGCAAATGACATATCAGATACAGGGTCAGTATATAAAAATCTATAAAGAACTTAACAAACGCAACACCAAAGAACAAATAATTCAGTGAAGAAATGGGCAAAAGACATGAATAGATACTTTTCCAAAGAAGACATCCAGATGGTTAACAGACACATGAAAAAATGCTCAACATCACTCATTATCAGGGAAATACAAATCAAAACTACAATGAGATACTACCTAACACCAGTCAGAATAGCTAAAAGTAACAACTCAGGCAATGACAGATGTTGGCAAGGATGTGGAGAAAGAGGAACACTTTTACACTGCTGGTAGGAATACAAACTGGTGCAGCAACTCTGGAAAATAGTATGGAGGGTCCTCAAAAAATTGAAAATAGAACTACCTTACAACCCAGCAATTGCAACACCTGGTATGCATCCAAAAGATACAGGTGTGCTGTTTTGAAGGGGCACAGGCACCCCATGCAGCACTATTGACAATAGTCAAAAGTATGGAAAGAGCCCATATGTCCATCAACAGAGGAATGGATACAGAAGACATGGTGTGTGTGTGTGTGTGTGTGTGTGTGTGTGTGTGTGCGTGTGTGTGTGTGTATAAAATGGAGTATAACTTGGCAATCAAAGTCCTGAAATCTTACCATTTGCAACTCTGTGGATGGAATTAGAGTGTGTTATGCTAAGCAAAATCAGTCAGAGAAAGGCAAATATCTTATGACTTCACTCATATGTGGAATTTAAGATACAAAACAGATGAACATAAGGGAAGGGAAGCAAAAATAATATAAAAACGGGGGAGGGGGAGGACAAAAACATAAGAGACTCTTAAATATGGAGAACAAACGGGTTGCTAGAGGGGTTGTGGATGGGGAGATGGGCTAAATAGGTAAGGGGCATTAAGGAAGACACTTGTTGGGATGAGCACTGGGTGTTATATGCAGGGGATGAATCACTGGATTCTACTCCTGAAATCATTATTGCATTATATGCTAACTTACATGGATATAAATTAAAAAATAATAATAATTAAAAAAAAAATAGATGGGGCACTTGGGTGGCTCAGTCAGTTGAGCATCCAACTTTTGGTTTTGGCTCAGGTCATGATCCCAGGTTCATGGGATCAAGCCCCACGTTGGGCTCCACACTGAGCACGGAGCCTGCTTGGGAATCTCTCTCTTTCCCTCTGCCCCTCTCCCCAACTTGCATTCGTGCTCTCTCTCTCTCTCAAAAAAAAGAAAAAGATAATAATTTGGAAACCAAGCTCAAAATGATAAGGCATGTAAAATTTCAACTTGCTCTTTATGGTATCTGAAACAGGGCTGATAAGTACTAGATTTAAAGATACAACACATTTCCAGGGCAGAGTCCTCTTTCACCAGCTGAAACTTGTCAGTAAAAGTGCCATGTATCCTGAACTCTGTCCTACTAAAGATTCAGTATATCTGATGTATACAGGCCCAAGTTCTCTTAAAGGTAAAGCCAGTAGAAAAAAAAATCTTGTTTCCTATGTTCTTTGTGTAAAAGATTCAACATGAGACAGAACTGCAATAACCTAATGAGCAAACAGCAGTCTGTTCCCCTAATCTATTTTTCTTTAAACTATAGAAAGGAAAAGAAATATGTTTCTAAAACATTCTAAATTTAACTAATTCATCTGGAAAGAGCAGGAGGTGGAGAGTGGGAGGTTGTGAAAGATTTCTAAAATTAGTAAATAAAATTTATTTAAAAGGTAATGGAAGACTCTTTACTTTGAGGTCCATTCCTTCAAGATTACTAGGATTTCCAGAGAAAAATACTGCAAGGTAATGAGTGGCTGTCTCCATAGGACAATATTCTGCCTTTCTTCCCGATCCCTCCTCTTCTTTTCATTCATTGAAGAAGGGTCTGAAAAACATTAGTGCAGAAGTTAAGAGAATGTTCTTTTCCCAATCACTTTCAAAATTCATCTGCTTTCCCGTACCACATTTGAAGGATTGCATATAAACCTCAAAGAACAAGCAATGTGCTTCACATTACAATATGTCTGGGTTAGGTGATTCTGCTCTGCTCTGGGGACTATTTTGGCAATTACTGTCAGGATATAAGTTTCTTTTCTTGTACACTACCAGGATACTAAGCACACCTTCTATGAGGGGTGATTTAGTATCATATCACAGAGCAAAGTGGCTTAGAGCTCAAAGTGGGAAGGCAAACTACTAACTTGCCCAGTGTCTCATGGCTTGTAGTGTTCCAAATCCTGACTACAAGTCATGAGACACTGGGCAAGTTAGTGAATCTTTCTATGTCTCAGTTTTCTTTTCTCTGAAATGAAGATGAAAACTGTACTTACTTCTTTAGGGTCATTGCAAAGATTAAATGAGTTAATATATGTAAAGCTCTCAGAAGAGTCTGACACTTAGTAAGTATACAAAGTTATTATCCAAATTACAAATGCCTATACCCTACAACTCAATAATCCCATTTCTAAGAATGATTAGGCATGGGTGAAATGTCTTTGGTACAAATTTATTCAATGTAGTGTTACTTGTCTTAGTAAAAGATTATAAACAACCTAAATGTTAACAGAAGATAGAGGAGTGGTTAAAGTATGTACACTCATTCAGTGGAATACTAAGCAGCCATTAATGAAGACTACAGTTATAGCACAGGCTCCAGAAAATATAAAGTTAAAAAAATCCACAATACAGGATAGCGTGTCATACTGACATTAATTTTAAATTCCAAGGGGTTAGGCAGCAAGGGAAGAATATACAAATGCACATGCTTATTGAAAGAAAGGAAAGAAAAAAATAACATCCAAAAGCTACTAATGTGAAGAGACTGACATATGCATGCCTATCTCTAAATCCTAAAACTCTTGGTGCAATGATGTAAAATTCATCAATAATCAGAGTAACTCGAAAGTCAGATAAGTGCTGCAAAATGTGCTCTGCAAGGCAATGTAGTGATCAAAACAAACAGAAACTACGATTTCAGATAGCTTGCACTTCCTCCAATATAAAAGAGAATCTCTATAATATAATATTACCATGTTGGAATATTATTTGCAATATGTTTGAGAAGTCAAACAATTAGAAGTCAAAAAGAAAACCATTATAATTAACAGAAGTGGAAAAGCTTTCATTTCCTTTAAACACAATAAAGGAAACTTCCTACTTTAACCATCTATATAAATACAAGCTATAGTTTTCAGGGCTTTTGGGGGCCTTTTTTCGGTGTGTGTGTGTGAATGTTTAAGTAAGTGTCAAATACAATGAAATTTACCACAAATTCCAAATTGGGTTAAAATATAAATTTATTTGTTGCAAATGAAAACTTTAAAATAAACCCACAGTAATCACATTCTGACTTTTTAAATAATTGTACATTTAGGATTAGTGTAATAAATAAATTTACAATCTACTTCTAAAGTTACAAAATAGCATGATAAAACTGAGCACCAAATAAAGCCAAATAAATACTTAACCACAGCAAAGGATTAACAAATAATAACCTTGTACCCAGAACACTACTGATGCAACTGTGGATAGGTTGCTTCTGCAATCACTATGAAAATGCAGCATATAGGCCCTGACCCATGAATTTCATTTACTATGAGGAATAAACAAAAGATAATTACAGTAGTTCCCCCCACCCCTTATCTGTAGGGGACATGTTCTAAGATGCCCAGTGGATGCCTGAAACCACAGACAGTACTGAATTCTATATATGTTTTTTCCTATATCCACATAGCTATGCAAAGTTTAATTTATAAATTAGACACAGTAAGACTGATAGCAGTAACTAATAATAAAACAACCATAAAATATATTTTAATAAAAGTTCTAAGAATGTAACTCTCTCTGAAAATATCTTATTGTACTGTCCTTCTTCTTGAGATGATAAGAGATAAGAAAATAATTATGTGATAAGGCGAAGTGACGTGAATGGTGTAGGCATTGTGATATGGCATCAGGCTATGACTGATGTTCTAGATCATTCTGTTTCTGCACTGTAGTTGGCCATGGGGAACTGCAACCACAGATAAAGAAAACACAGACAAGAGGCAGGGGGCACTTCTGTAATCTTATATAAAATATACAAGAATCTAATGTATCTTATCACATATTAACAAAAGACAGTAAATATTAAATATATTTCTATTTTACTCCAATAAAACGGATATCATTTAAACATTTAAATGATACATTTAAACCTGTAGATCTTCTCCCTCCAAACCACCATAATTTATTTACCTGTGAAGTTTCCATTATATTGTTCCTTGTTCATTGCTACACGTCTCTGGTCACAATTTTTTCCATTCTCTGCCATTTCATAGATCAATAACTCTTGAGGAGCTAATAAAGCAAAATAAAATCCAATGACATGTTAAATACTTCTGCTTTGCATTTATGACTGGATAAAACTGAGAAACAACATAGTAGTAATATTCTGCATGCTGTCTGAATAATGTGTTTATTCTTTCATCTTCTCTTTTATAATCAAGATTTGAATAATTTTGTATAGAAATTCCTATAAGTAGTAAAAATATAAAAGCCATGTAGTTGTAAACCTTTTCCAGACTTTCCAGTGATCTTTCAGATTAAAATTTGGAGGTAATTTGTCCACTGCAGAATATAAAATACTGGCATCTTCAAATACTGATAAGGCAAAGTCTTTCTCATTCATAATTAGTATCATATATACTCTCTACTCAAATTTACCAATCTTTCAGTTCTTTTAGCATTATTAGAAAAAAGGAATTATACTATCAAACATGTCAAAAATGTTGATATAGATCAAAGACCAATTTTATTTAGGAAAAAAAATGCTACTGAAAAAGATAATATGCCCTCCCCAAAATCCTAAATGTTTAAGATATGTTAAAAGTACTCTTTATGTCATGCTTCATATTACACATGTAGGTATAAATTTTTACTTTAAGTAAAAACATCAGATTGCCTATAACTGTTACCATTCTTTCAGGCATCAGTAATGCAAATCTTTCAACTCAAGAAGCACAGTACTTCAATCAAGTCTGCAATGCAGAGTCCTTAATACCTTCTGCATGCACCAGCAAAACTGCTAGCCCTATATTCAGCTGATTAGAATATGGTATGGTCATGGATTCTATCTTCCTATAGTTTGTGAGTTGGAACTATTTTTTTTCTTTTAAGATTTTAAGTAATCTCTATACCAAATGTGGGACTCGAACTTACAACCTTGAGATCAAGAGTCACACTCTCCACCCACTCCAGCCAGACACCCCCTTGACTAAAATTCTAACTATAATTACTGCTCTCCAAATTTATGCTTCATAATGGAAAGTAAGTGAAATACTATATATATAAAAAGACTGGGAGCGCCTGGGTGGCTGATTCAGTTAAGTGTCTGACTTGATTTTGGCTGAGGTCGTGATCTCACGGTTCTTGAGTTTGAGCCCCTGCTTGGGATTCTCTCTCTCTCTCCTTCTCTCTCTGCCCCTCCTCTGCTCTGTCTCTCTCTCTCTCTCTCAAAATACACACACACACACACACACATACACACACACACACACACACACACACACACAGGCTGAGCAAAGAGCATATATTCATCACATCAATAGAAGGTGTTTCTTTTAGACACAATCCATTTGTGGATATCTTTATTTTCTTGCCATCATTTCTCAATAAACAAACATATTAAGAAATAAAGTACAGGATTCCATTAGCACAGATAGATAACCTGGAATAGATGATTATAAGATTTAAAGTTTGAAAATCTTGGGGCACCTGGGTGGTTCAGTCGGTTAAGCATCTAACTCCGGCTCAGGTCATGATCTCATGGTTTATAAGTTTGAGCACTGTCAGGCTTTGTGCTGACATTTCAGAGTCTGGAGCCTGCTTTGGATTCTATCTCCTCCTCTTTCTTAAAAATTAATAAACATTAAAAAAATAAAAATAAGACAAATAAAGTTTGAAAATGTGGATTTGCATCCCAGATTTGCCACTAATCGGTGGTATGATCTTAAGCAGGTCTGATTTTCCTAGATCTCGATTTTCTTTTTTGTTTGTTTAGTGTTCTTGGTTTTAGAGTTTATTTCAGTCATCTCTACACCCAACATGGGGCTCAAACTTAAAATATCAAGAGTCACGTGCTCTACTAACTGAGCCAGCTAGGTGCCCCTAGATCTTGATTTTATGATCTACAAAATGAGAACAAAAATTCTCACTGTGACAGGATTGCTAAGGATGAGAGAGAGAGAGAGAGAGAGAGAGAGAGAGAGAGTGTGTGTGTGTGTGTGTGTGTGTGTGTGTGTATTTGGGCATGCACACCTGTGTATAACCACATAAAAGGACAGGAGGTATATGAGCCAGTAAACTTGCCTATACTATAGAAACTACATACCTCACTGCCACCATTTAAGTGATGTCAGTGTCTTTCATTTAGCGCTCGTTTAAGAAATTCTGGGGTGTGTACCAGGCTCTGGAGACATAAATATGAATAAGACAAGGTCTTTGTCCTCCAGAGGGTATTTTCTTTCTTTCTTATTTTTTAAACTTAAAAAAAAATTATATAGTTATTTTGCAGGGGAGTGGCAGAAAGAGAGAGAATCCCAAGCAGGCTCCACACCGCCAGCACAGAGCCTGACACAGGACTAAGTCCCACAGACTGTGAGATCATGACCCGAGCCGAAACCAAGAGTGGGATGCTCAATCAGCTGAGCCATCCAGGCGCTCCGAGGGTCCTTTCTTCTGGTAGGGAAGCCAAATGAGCACAGGACTTCACTTAAAATGAAACAGATATACAGTATCCAATTTGGTGACAAGAAAACAGGAGTTTTAGCGTCTAACAGAACTGGATTGAAGCTCAAACTTCACAAGTTTGATATTCCATGAACTTGGACAAATTTATAAATCTCTCTAAACATCAGTTTTTTTAACCTATAAAACAGAAATAACATGACACATATCAAAGGTTTACTGGGAGGATTAAACAAGGTAATGTATATCAAATAAGAATACATTGTCTTACCTTTTATATGAATTCAATATATACTAGCTATAATGATAAAGAGAAAGAAAGTACAGGGGAAAGAAAGTACATGGGAGCTCAGAGGACAATACCTTCAGAGAAGTTTATAAAAGCTGGAAATTTGATTCTGTGAACTTAAGTCATACTTATGTGAAGATGTTTTTGAAAAACAATACAGCTCAAGCAATTAAAAAAAATGAAGTTATTTTGTGAAATTCTCTAAGACTAGATAGGTTCACAAAATGTTAAGTCTATTTCCACAAATCATGCTTTCTGAGCTTTATTAATAAAATTAACTGAGGATGTTTGAAATGGACCATATAATAAAGGAGTTTTGGATTTTCTTACTTCTAATCATTTAACTACAAGCCATACTTAAGTTCTATAAATACTTAAAAGCGGGTATGTTCATATTCAGCCAAATGCTGTGGGCAATTCATTTCAGAGATGAACAGCCATTTACCTATATCACAATAAATAAAATGTAATTAATTTGAAACAAAAAGATGAACAAGTCACAAAAGGGCATGTGCATTATGAAGAAAAGATTCTAAAACTTGTCCTCTAGCAAAACAATGTGATAACTGAGCTCATTTCCCTAGGTTTACTCTTTCCCATAGTAATCATCTTTAAGAGATAAAAAAAAAAGTTTTATCCAAAACAACTTGAGTCCATTTGAGTGCTTATGTATAATAATGGTATTATGCAATTATTTGAAGATGTTTTTAGAGATATTGCAACAGGAATTTTCATTTGAGCAAATAATGTGTTCTTATACAATACACTCTAAAAGAAAACAGCTTACTGACATTTCCTACTCAAAAAATTCTCTAGAAAACAAAATAGTCTGGAATTTTGTTTTGTAAGAAATAACCAAAGGAACTAAGTTATTTTCTTTTCATCAGTCTACTTCTTACAAAAAAATAAGTTCACAGTTTTAAAAACAACTTTTAAAAAACTTTTGCCATTTCCCAAAGACCTATAAAGCAAAACATGTAAAAAAACAAACAAAAACAAAAAACAAAAAACAAAAATCTGTGTTCTAAATAGCTAAGCTTATAAAAGCATCAAAACTTTTTTGCATTTTAACCTTTTTTGAAAATATTTTACACTATTGTCATTTTTTTTATTAAAAATTTTTTTCATTATTTATTTTTGAGAGATAGAGAGAGACAGTGTGAACAGGGGAGGGTCAGAAAGAGAAAGAGACACAGAATCCAAAACAGGCTCCAGGCTCTGAGCTAGCAGTCAGCACAGAGCCCAACGCAGGGCTCAAACCCACGAACCATGAGATCATGACCTGAGCCGAAGTTGGACACTCAACCGACTGAGCCACCCAGGTGCTCCTACACTATTGTCTTTTAAAACTCTCCTGAAAACACCCTCAATTCTTTTGTCCCCATCTTCCTCAGTCACATATATACTTTGTAAAACTGCAATGTCCCTGGAACAACCTGCATCTTTACGGTCTGTCTGACCAGGTGACCAAAACAAGAAAAATCACCCAACTGCACAGCTACAATAAAGTAGGTTTATTTATTGAAGAAATCTCTCTACCCAACGTGGTGTTGAACTCACAACCCCAAAAACATGAGTTACATGCTCTTCCAACTGAGCCAGCTACAAGCCCTACACAGCTACCTTAAATTCACCTATCTAGTCAACAGATATTTATCAAGTACCCATTTTGTGAGTTATTATTTGAGATGCCAAATCTCAAACCTCCAAACTGATGTTCATTCCTACTATTGAACTTTTTCTCATCCTCACAATTATTTCATTCCTTGTTCACTCTGCCCAACTTTTTTCCTTTCTTAGTCTCAGGCATCGACTTTCATTTTTTTTAAACCAAGAAAGGAGAGGGGGAATTCCCAATTTTTCTACCATAAACCTACTACATTTCTGACACCTTCCACCACGTTAGCATTCCCTCTCTCTTTACAACTAGAGCAATATCTTCTACCAGGAAAGGTTATCACATCAATATACATTCTGTGTATCATTCCCACTCATCCTCCCAGGTCCTTTGTTCCTTCAGTTATCTCTCTCTGTGTCATCAACATTTCTCCATTATTGGATCATTCTTATCTGCAATTCTAACACTCTCCAGCATTACCCATTTCTCAGTCTTTCGTACGGATTTCTCAAAAGAGTTGCCTACATAAACACAGTCTCTTCTTCCTTCCTCATCAACAAATCTGTTCAATTCATTGAAATAGGACTTCTGGACATGAACAGACACTTCTCCAAAGAGGACACCCAGATGGCCAACAGACACATGAAACGATGCTCAGCATCCCTCCTCATCAGGGAAATACAAATCAAAACCACACTGAGATAC